GATGCATTTTAGTGGTAGCCTGTCTGCATAGCAAGAGAAGGGCCCTGGGTTTGATCCCCACTACTACAAATAAAACAAAATGTAAAAATAAGCGGGGGGGGGGGCATAAGAGGGAGAGGGAACTGGGATTGATAGGTGAAATAAGATTGCTTCTAACTCCAGTTTTTGTCAAGTTGACAAAAACTAGTCACCTACTTGTGTAGCCATGGAGTCCAAGAGCTCTTACACCAGGACTAATTTGGTTAATGACTTTCTATGTGTTTGTTTTGAGGCAGGGTTACTTTGTGGTCCCTCTGGCTGTCCTGGAACTCACAGAGATCCTCTTCTTGCCTGTGCCTCCCGACTCTTGGGATTAAAGGTGTGCACCACTGCCTGGCTTGTTACTGACCTTTGAACAAAGCCATCTCTTGCAGATTGTATATAGCCTGTACTGTCTTTATGTACTAGTGTTTTCATAACTCTATTACAACTTGAGTTCCCTTCTGAGCAAATGACTAAGCCTCAGCCTTAACTATTGAGAAATTTTAGGGGCTGGAGTGATGGGCTTGTCTCAAACAAAAAAGTAAACAAATAAGCAAAAAAAAAAAAAAAAAAAAAAAAAAAAAAAAATTCTGTGGCCACACCACGGAAAACATGGTGTAGTGCTCACATCCTCAATCCCAGCACTTTGGAGATGGAGGTGACATCACCGATGTTCTCTTCCGGCCTGTGTGGGCTCCTGCACTGTCCACAACGCCCCCCACACAAGCACACATACACATAGTTTTTAAAAATAAAAGAAAGTACATTCTACAAGGAAGGGCTGGACTTGCTCATCTGAGGGTTCTCGGCACATGTATAGGAAGTGTTCTATAACCACCGTCCCAATGATTACCAAGCACACCGTAGCGATACGTGAGCTATCATTCCACTCCAAGTTCAAAGGTCTCCACAGCACAGTCCAGCCTCAGGGTTCTTTTATTGTAGCCACTTATCACATCACTGACTCAGCTTAAAATAGACTTCTCGGCGTAGCAGGTCGCTTTACCGAGACTGGATTAGAACCAGGCTAAAAAGTTACTCTTCCGTGTCCCTTTTATATTTAATTTTTTAAAACGTATTTAATTTTATTGACTGTGGACGCATGCACGCGCACACACATACCACACCACACGTGCGCACACACACACATTGCAGAGGTCAGAGGAAAACTTACAGGAGGAGCAGGCTCTCTCCTTCCACAGTGTGGCCCTCGGGCTTGGTGGGAGGTGTTTTACCACCGAACCATTTCACAAGTCCCAGTGTCCGCTTTTCAAGGTACTTTCTAGATGTCCTAAGTAGCTAGAAAGTGATGCTAGTAGCTGACTGCTTTACATGATAGTCTGAGGTTCCTCTCTCGCCCATGGTGAAGTCCCACAAACCCAGCATCTTCCCTTGGGCTGGTAGCTGCTGTCTGTCTGTCTGTCTTTGGTTACTGTCAGTGTGTGTGGCCTCCGACTTTTTTTTTTTTTTTTCAGGCTGGTCTTGAACTCACAGAGATCCTCCTGCCTCTGTCTCCCAAGTGCTAGGTTTGAGGTGTTAAAGCCAAAGAAGGTCATAGGCCGTGGCAGGAAGAGCAGCTTCAACCACTGAGCCATCTCTCCAGCTCTGAGAGACCCTGTCTTAAACAAGCCGGGTGCTGCTACGCACCTTTAATCCCGGCACTCAGAAGGCAGAGGCAGGTGGATATCTTCCATTATCCCTGGGACTGACTGACTTACAGCGACACCCTTTCACAGCCACATGTAAATGTGTGGGGCTTTTTTCTTTTGATTTTTTGAGAGAGTTTTTGCTACACAGACCTAGAACTTGCTATGGAGATCAGACCTGCTTTTCCTCCTGGGTGCTATGATTAAAGGCACATGTATCAACATATCTAGCTTCGTTCCATGCTACTTCCTACTCTTCACACTGTTCTGTCAGGTCTTTGCTTCACTCCCAAGTAACTCTTGGGAAAATCTCAGCTTGGATCCTATTAATCTGGCTCTCCTAAAAACTTTTGTTGAATTCCAAGGCTTTTCATCCTTGTGATCCCTTTTTGTACTAAAAGGTCACTCACAAGGGTATTTTACTCACAAGACCACAACAAAATCATGGCCGTCCGTGTGCCAAGCACTGGTTAGCGTTGGAGTGAAGATAGGACATTCTATCCCCCACCCGAAACTTAATACGGAGTCCTTCACACCTGCACCTCCGCCAGACCACCAATGTGGAGAGCTACAATTCAACATCATTACCACATTTCTAAAAATACTCTTGGTGGCACACACCTTTGATCCCAGCACTGGGGAGGCAGAGGCAGGTCCATCTGAGCTCCAGGACAGCCCGGTCTACAGAGTTAGTTCTAAGACAGCCAGAGCTACCTAGAAAGCCTGTCTCAAAAAAGAAAAAAGCCAGGGTTCTCTCTTCTCTCTGATAGCTTTCTGTTGGGGATGTTATTTTGGGGGTGGGAAGCAGGTTGTCAAAGAAACCTTCCTGTCTCAACTGTCATTACCAGTGCGAAAGTAGCTTCCTTGTCCTGTACACACACACGGTCTCTGGCAACAGCATGGGCCACAGACATAGACATGGCCTTGGGCCTCAGCAAGGTCTGGTGGCAGGGCACCATGGACATCCTGTGGGTAGCCTTTTTATTTCCAGCATTTTAAGCATTCTTTTTTTTTTTTTTTAAAACACTTAATTCACTTTATTTTCCTTGTATAAAACACCTTATGTGGTGGCAAGAGCTGGAGCCTGGGTCCTCTGAACAGAGACTCTGATATGGGCTTTCACGAGATGGTCAGTGAATTCCTGATAAGACTTGGTGAACACAGTCTCTTTCCAGAGGTCAGGGGTCAGGTAGCTGTAGGTCTTAGAGATGGCATCAAAGGTGGCCTTGGCAAAGTTGCCCAGGTTGGCAGTTCAGCCCCTGGCTGATACGTAGCAGCCATCAATACTGGCCATCATTAGTAGCTTCTTGGTCACAGGAGCAGAGACGATGCCAGTGCCTCTGGGGGCAGGGATGAGACGCACTAACACAGAGCCACAGCGGCCTGTCACTTTGCATGGAACAGTGTGGGGCTTGCCAATCTTGGCCCCCCAGTAGCCTCTCCTCACAGGGACAATGGAAAGTTTGGCCAAGATGATGGCCCCTCGGATAGCTGTGGCTACCTCCTTGGAGCACTTAACACCAAGACCAACATCACCATTGTAGTCCCCAATAGCGACAAAAGCCTTGAACCTGGTGTGCTGACCAGCCCTTGTCTGTTTCTGTACTGGCATGATCTTTAGAACCTCATCCTTAAGAGATGCCCCCAAGAAAAAGTCAACAATCTTGGATTCCTTAATGGGCAGAGAGAAAAGGTAGATCACCAGGGACTTGATCTTCATGTCCTTAGCCAGGCGACCCAGCTTGGTGACGGGGACCCACTCCTCGTCTTCGGCTTTACCTCCACGAGCCCCACGGCCTCGACCACGACGGTGACCCCTGAGACCGCTGCCGAAGCCTCCACAGAAGCCACTGCAGCTTCCTAATCCTGGGCCCCCGGGGCCCTCCCGCTGCACCAGAGTCATCTGCAGTCTTAGACTCTGTGTGTTAAGTTTCTCTCTCAAGTTTGTGTATCCTCATAGCCGAGACTGAAGTACTTGACTCTTACTATATGCTAACCCACCTACCTGCTGTTTATCTTCCACTACAGCAAAAAATGGCGAAAGTTCAAAGTATGTTACTTCTAAGACTGGTTTTACAGAAAGGCCCAGTGACTGCGGTTTAAGAATTCAGACTCTTGACATGTATGTAGACTTTTCCTGCCGAGGCTCTATTACTAATAAATGAATTTTTAAAATGTGTAACAAGAGGTGTGTGGTAACAAAAGCTTTTAATAAGCTGTTTGGAACACAGGAAACAGAAAGAAAATGAATTAGCAAAAGTAAGGAAGGTGGCAGGTGGTAGTGGCACATGTCTTGAATCCCAACACTTGGGAGGCAAAGGCAGGTGGATCTCTGTGAGTTCAAGGCCAGCCTGGTCTACAGAGTGAGTTCCAGGACAGCTAGGGCTGTTACACAGAGGAACTGTCTCAATAACCCGCACAAAACAAACAAAAACTAAGGAAGGCTTACACTTAAATGTCCACAGAAACATTAAAAGCCAATGTGATTAATCAAAAAGGAAAAGTAGAAGTGAGCAACTTAGCCCTGAAAAGCACATAAAGGGCTTGAACTCGAGGCACTGTCAAGGGTGAAGGGGCAGGCCAGAACACAGGTCTACAGCTGCGCAGAAACCCCATCAACTTCTCAGCTTCTCCAAACTCTTCTCTTTGACAAAGAAAGAAAAATAACCTACCATAGGATGATCATCAAGTTCACACACACACACACACACACACACACACACAGACACACCAGTACTCAGCACTTAGTGAAGAATACACAGTACACTGAGATTCACAAATTTAAATAAAGTCACCACAGAGAGACATACAAATGACAGACAAAACAGCACATCCATCCACAAACACAGGCTAGGATGAATTCCGGTCATATTGAGGCTTAGTCTCAAGCAAGACCAACAACCCTGAGTGTTGTAAGTAAATACGTAACACAGTAAACACGGGCCAGGTGAGTCTGTGCACTCCTTTGAGGGGCACTTAGGAGACAGGTTTGTGAGTTTGATGCCTGCCAGGGTTACACAGTAAGTTCCTGTCTCAAAAGAAGAAAGCAGAGGTGGTAAGACAGAAACACGGAGGAATGGTTGGGAAGGTCACAGACCGGACAAGTCGCTGCATTAGAGGGAACAGGGGCTTTGGGAGACTTCAAACAGCATTCTCTAAAGACTACACAGCGCTTACACCTCAGAACCAAGACCCATCTCCTACAGTAATTAGGAAGCAATAGATTCACATGGGAACTAAAGCTTAATCTAGAAATAAATACCACGTGAGAAATGCTATATAGAAACCTTACAATTCAGGCTATCCGAAAATCATTTATTACAACAACAAAACTAGAGTTAATTTCTTTATTATTGAATTATATTGTAAAGTCTACATCTAGGAATTAATAAATGCTTTGCATTTCCATTGAGGACACATTTACTCTAGTGGAATAAAACAGACACAGACAAAAGACCAAGTACACTTTTTAAAAAAAATGGCATGTTTTACCTGGCCCTACTTTTGCTATACTGGACCATACTTTTCCTATTCCAGACTGACCTTGCTTATAGTATATGTTAAGTCTGATTTATCTCCCCACATTTTTAAACATTAAGTGGGGCTTCTCACAATTTTTAATTATAAACCAAAGACTGAAACAGTATGAGAAGCACTGTCTGAAAACAAAGGAAGAAAGATGGCTATTACCTTAGAGTGGAAAATTGAGTAAAACATGGCCCCCCTGTGGCTCATCTCAAAAGAGACACTTTTACTCAGAGAGGCAAGCACTTCAGATCTGAGTCAGCTTCCCACATGTCCTGAAAGACCAGACCACACCTACATGTTCTGGTCTTAATGACAAAGTTTACTTAAAATGTCTATGAAATATCTAAAAGCTAAATACAATAGAAAATTGTGTGCTGGTCTAAATAGTCATCTTCACTTCCTCCTTTTTTAAAAATTAGAATTACCTTTACATTTTTGGATGTTATTAAAAATAATTTACATTTTTAGTGTGCTTTACGGTCAATGACTGTAAAATTGTAACTTAAAAATGACTAATTTAAAAATTTTTTGCTTTACTTGATTCTACTAAAATTTAAATTTACTGCAACTTTTATTTAAGCCATACATGAGGTAAATTTCAGCTAAAATATAAGACAACCATAAGGATATTGTTAATCACTTCAAGAGTACATAAAATCATAATTATAATGCCCACCCTTATTCACAATTACAAAGGAAGCATCTGCTACTGCGTATGGGATTTAAAAGCAAATGATAGACCTTTAAATCGAATTACATCAGGAACTATATGGCTAAGACAAACAAAACCCCAGAAACACCCCACACCTCAACCTAAAACAGAAAAAAATCCCTGGCAAAGTAATTTTTTCTTTTTGGTAGTAGAAGACATTGAAGCAAGGAACCCAAATGAAGCAGGAGACCAGCCCTTAGTTCCTGACAGGACAAACACCCCTGCACTTATTTACCTAAAGGACATTTTGATAATATCCTGGGCTGACAGGGTAAACGCTCTGTTGTAGATAAAAAGTACAAGATTCCAATGACCATCTCATAGCTAGCTAACTGCTCTTCCAAACGTCGCCAGCTAATAGTAACTGCAAACAGGTGTCCATGTTGCCCTAGAAGATCTCTGTGGAGAAGCAAGTGTACTTAAATGGTTGAACGAAGCGGGAATTTCATGCCATGAAACTATTTCAGGGAGAAGTATGGCAGGGCCGCACCAGCAATACCACGCTATCACTGACCCAAGTCACACCAGAGCTTATTGCTGCACCTTCCATGGACAACACACCGTGACATTACAGGGAGCACAACGGGGGACCCTCTCTAACTCACCTCATTCACATCTGTAACATTTTTACTCGGTAGAGAATAAGTCATAAATCTTTTCTGTAAGAATTCCAAGTATTTAATGTGTAGCTTCACATTACATCACCATGTTTTGCCTTATTTTTCAAATACACAAAACAATGCATTTTCCCCAAAAGTGAAATAAGATATCCACATTAAAAAAATAAAGCCTACAAAAAAGTTCCAGAGCTAAAAAAATTATTCATATGGCACAATGTGATCTCCCAAGTCCAAAGTGTTGAAATGAGGTCCATGTATGAGTCTCGTCTGCTTTTCAGTGCAGCGCTGATTTTACTGAGGTGAAGTCATGATGCTACTTCTTCAGGCAACAGAGGACACGGATGTTTCTACAGTTATTAAAAACAGGAGATCAGGTTGAATGTGCCGAAGTGATTTCTTCAGTTGGATATTTTATTATCTTGAAGAAAATTAGTGAAGGGATTTCCTTGGTTGGTTTCCATAGCTTGATACACCAAAAACAAAAAAACTGCTACTACAACAAACATCAACATTTTTATCCACATGGGAATGGAGCGTCCCTTCTTCGTCTTTTCTGATCTGACGTCCGCCAAGGGGACATACTTGGGGACATATTTAGATGAGAAGGAGTCTTCCACCCGGAAGTCACTGAGCTCTAGTGGTCGGCCTGCTGCCCCTTTGATTGGTCTGCGGCAACTAGCACTGTTGAGGATGAAAGAATTTCACAAGATTATTCCCCAGACTAACAACAAATGTTAGTGCAGCTTCTAATTCTAAGCACGCTGTATAAAGCAGCAGCTGACTGACAAATGAAAGCAGGGAGCCTTCTTTCTGTTACACTTTTTCTGTATTTCTCCTTTTCTGTGGTGGTACTGGGAGGTGAGCCAGGGCCTTGCATGCTCGCTAGGCATTTTATTACAGAACTAATGACCCAACTGCACGCTTATCTTAAAAATCAGTGGCAGGCTAGAGAAATGGCTCACAACCAAAAAAGTAAGAGTTCCAGTTCCAGTACCCACAGTTGTTTCTTCAGCTACCGTTAGCCAGATGTGGCGGCAAAACCTTTAATCCCAGCACTTGGAAGGCAGGGACAGGCAGCTCTCAGAGTTTAAGGCCAGCCTAGCCTTTAGAGCAACTTCCGGGACAGCCAGGGCTACAAAGTAAGACCCTGTTTTGAAAAACCCTCCAAAAGTTACTGCATTATTTATTATAAAATAATTTTAAAAACATGGTAAATATTCTCTAAGCCTGTCTTAAAGGCTTCTCAAAGGTCATTTAGGGGGAAAATAAGGTCCCGCATGCCTGCAATTCCAGCTCATGGGAGGTGTGTCAGGGGCTGAAGACAGTAAAACCAGTGTCAGCCTGGTCTCAAAAAATCCAAAAACACCACCCAAAACAAAGTAAACAAACAAACACCAGGAGCAGCGGAGATGAGATGGCTCAGCAGGCCTCCGTACTTTAGAGCAACCTCACAGAGGAAGTCACTTGACACCCAGTGTCTACCTTTGGCTTCCACAAGTAAACATGAACACACAACATAAAATTAAAAAGAAACAAAGAGGTGTGCTCATGTAGCAGAAGGCTTAGTAGCAGAGGGCTCACCAAGCATGCATGAGGCCCTGACCCCCTTTCCTCCCTAAAGGAGAGAAAATAAAATCTGATTCCTTTTCATGGATGTGAACCACTTGATTCTGAGAACAAAGCCACAACAAAGTTGTGATGAAGAACCAAACGGTCCCTAGAAAATACCTATCCTCCACCCAATCTCCCCACGCACCTAATTCCCGTGGGAGTGGATGCTTCATAGGGGAACATTTCCTTAAGAATATCCCTTTCTACTCTTCTTTCCTCTGTTTTTTCTTCCACCTAGTAAGAAACAAAGACATAATCACAAGTTAAAATTTAGTAGACATATGCAGTAACTGAAACGAACATTTTAGGGAACACAAAACCCTCATCTAGCCTAGCTTCGTTACCATTCACAAGCCTCCAAGAATCTTCAAATTTTATCACTGAACAATAGGTAGTTATTAGAAGGAAAAGTGCCACACATTCAAGGGGGAGGAGATACCCAGCAGCCTAATTCCCACTGACTCTCCTTCCATTAAGATACTGTTTCTTCCTGTTAGAAGTTCTGTGATAAAGGAAAGGATTAAATGTAGAAGATGCCTATCTAATGTAGACCTCTATCTTGTTTTGAGTCAATTAAGCCATTCCAACTTGGAAAAAAAAGAGTTCATCTCCTTTGCTGAAGATTAAAGTTACGAGCCATGCAGCAAGCATTTTAAAGGTCAGTTCTATGGGCACGGTCACTTGAAAGTCTCATTGCCGGACTTTTCAATCAAAGCGCAGCTTCCCTTACAGCCCGGTAGCATTTTAAACATGGATCCATGACAAGAGTATGTTACAAGCAGCACGTAAACTCCCCGCAACCAGGAACTGGAGAGTCACACAACAGCGAGAGTATAGGATTATTAGTAGGTCGTACTATATTAATTTCTATTTTCAAAACTAAAATTGTCTTTAAACCATGTATGCACAACATACACACGAACATTCATAAACCTCCCAGTAAAATTCTGTCCCCTCCCACTTAAAAAAACTCTGAAAGATGAGTGACAGCAGTGGGCTTAATTGTATCCATTCATTTACTTCGGCTCTCGGCAATGGTTTCTTTGGTGTTCTTCTGGGTATGTCTGAGAATTCAGTGATTGGCAGAATAGAAGATGCATGCTTGAAATTTCCAGTCAACCTATTGACAACCTGCCAAGATTCAAATTATTCAGACTCAGAATTATCCAAACATAGCAAAGACACTTAAAATGAAAAAGATACTCCACGCCTGCAATATTTGATTTTTCCCTAATAAATTTTAGGTAACAGGATCTACAAACACACACTCAGTGCTTTACATGTGACCTTGTTATAATTCTTCAAATATTTAGTAAAAAGTATTTTCATAGTATTAGGATTCTTGTCCAATGAATTAAATTTATTTGTAAGATGACTATATTAAAATATTCTAAAATGCAGAAACTTGGACTAAATTAGTTTAAAATGTAATATAAATTTATGATTTGCCAAAGTTCACCACCTCCCAAACTCCAACTGAGGGGTAATCCCAAAGAACAGCACTTAAGATAGTTTATTAAACATATTTACTAAGGGTTCGTTGCTTGAAGCCTTTATAGTTTCAGCTATGGGAGTACTCTCTGAAATTACTGCACCATCTATACGAAAATGTTGTGAAGTTTCCACCTGTTAGTTTAAAAACAGAACAAAAACAATAAATATAAAATAATCACTAAATCCCTGCCAATCTGAAAACCCACTTCTAAGCAATAAGCCTTGCATCACCCTTTTTCTTGGTGTTCTTCTTGGCCCTCTTGTGGACTCCCTAGTTACTGCCTGCAGAGGTCCGCCTTTGGAAGGTCCACTTGTCCATTCAGCCTCAGTTACTCCAGCTTGAGAATAGCTCTATTCAAGCATCAACACGTTAAAAAGTCATATTCTAGCACAAGCACCTTTAATAATGACCATTTTAGCACACCGAGGGACCAACAACTCTCCACATGCTATGCCTTAGAAATGTTTCTAAGCAATCAGAACACAAAGCAGACTGAGCACAATTTATACTCATGACATTTGTTACAATCCATTTTCTAAACTCAGAATCTCCTGAGTGCCTCTAAGTGTTTTTCCCCTAGGAAACAGGCCCCTAACAAGTCACTATCAAGTAGATTGTAACTGTGTTCTCACCTCCCTACAGAAAGCAGACAGCTCCAGATGAACCTGTCTGGGTGGGATAAAATGCACTACCCCCCTCACTTAAAACACCTCGGTGGCTGAGCACAGCGGTGTAACATTTGTAATCCTAGCTTCAGGGAGGCAGAATCATGAGAACAGTCAGTCACAAGTGTTCTACCACAGCCTAGGGTGCATAATGAGAGCGACTTTAAAAAAAAAAAAAAAGTAATCTAGAGCTGAGGCCATAGCTTGCTAGGCATACACAATGCCATGTCGGTCACTAGCATCACAAAAGAAACCCTCAGCAGTCCTTACACATTAGCTCAAATCCATTCAACCAGTGCTTTGAAAAACTAGTGTGCTTAGGCTGCCACTTCTGTTTAAGCTAATATTTTATGAGCATCAATGATGGCTTTTATGTCTGTAACTATTAAATCAAAAGAGCTACATTTTTACTCTTACACTGTGATAAGCACAAAGATTCAATAGAAGTGCCACCACTCTGACCCTAAAAAAGACAAAGTCTCCTAGCAGAATTTCATCTTTATTTGGATTGACATTGTAAGAGCTCCTTCCTTCCTTCCTTCCTTCCTTCCTTCCTTCCTTCCTTCCTTCCTTCCTTCCTTCCTTCTTTCTTTTTTGGAGACAGGGTTTCACTGTGTAGCCTTGGCTGTCCTCAAATTCAAGAGATCTGCCTGCTCTGTCTCCTGAGTGCTGGAATTAAAAGTACAAAGTACTACCACTCAACAAAAGAAAATATTGTTTCTGTATGTGTGTGTGAGTGTGTGTGTGGCACATACATGTCAGATGCCAGAGGGTGTTGGATCCCTTGGGCAGGAGTTAGAAACAGCCTGAGCTATGACATGGGTCTGACACCCTGACTTGGGTCCTCTGCAAGAACTCTGAACCATCAAGCCACCTCTCCAGCACCAGCATCATAACATTTGTGACTCACAATCTGAACCTAAGGTTTCCTTATCCTGCTACTGGTTAGGAAATCTCTGCTGAATGTGAAACTAATGTCAAAGATGAATTACAAAGTAAAACATTTAATATATTAAAACTTAATGAATTCCCAAGTATGTCAATAGAGGACACAACATCAGCCTGTGCATCTCGATCCTGGTGACACACTTAAAATTTCAGCCCTGGCCTCCAGCTCATCATTCTGCTATTCATGGCCAGCAGTACTGTGACGTAGACACACATGGTCATTCATAACAACTGACTTTGAGGATATTAATAAAACTACCATTCAGCGGCAGAATTCAGAAAGGCGCACCAACAATTACAGATTACCTGACTATACCATACACGCATTGTGAATGCTCTTATGTTTTGAGGCCAAGTAAGAATGACAATCCCACCTGCTGCCAGCGAGCTGTTCCCTAGAAGTCCTGATTTATGGGGACAAATGGAAGAAACAAAGCTCCCCTCACTGGATTCTGATTAAGCTACTCTGCGAAGATTAAGTCAGAAGGCCGAGGCATGTGAGAATACAGGAGCTGGGCGATTAAAAGGCTCTAAATCCCAAACAGAAATCGAAGCCCATACCCACACCAAACAAACAAAACCAAACAAACAAAAAAACCCTCCAAACCAAACAAACACTTCACCCCATCCCACCCCTAAATCTGAAGTAAACTACAGTAAAATTTAAACAAGTCTAATGTGGATGAGGATGAGGAGCCTGGGCTACATAATGAGCTCTCTCAAAGTATTAGCAAAAGGGTATAGGTTAAGGATGGAGTAGGTACCAAGCATGTTAAGAGTTCCTGGATTTGATTCTCAGGACAGTGGGAGAGAGAATATAGAAACACAAATGAGAATAAAGATAAAAAGCCATATTACTTTCAAGTGTCCACTACCCACACTTAGGTAAAGCATAATTAATGACCATTTACACTGACTTAAACACCATGTAAGTGAAAACTCTCACATTCACCAAAGGAAAGCAGCTGAATACAGTCTAGCATATGTACCAATCTTATTCATAAGCAGGATGCAGCTGCACTAGGAACGGAAAGGCAGGCAGGCTCTATTTTGATTTGGAGTGAACTCTAGGAAGGTATGAGTGGTGTAGATTACTTCCAAAAAGACAAACTCTAAAACTCCGGGGGTGGGGGGGGTGGGGTGGATATGGGGGATATCGGGGATCAATTCTATAGAATAACATAAAGCTCTAGCAGTACATTAAGCTACTGCCTACAAAAAGTAAACATTCATTCACAAGATTTTAAACATAGCATTTTACTTTATATCCTAGTGATATATCTTAAAATACTGTGGATTGCATTTAGCAGTGTTAATGTTACTTTGAAACATGTAAAATATGATATTTAAATTAAGAAAAATATAATTAGAAGAACTAAGATACTCAGCATGAGACACATGTCAGAACCAACTTTATAGCCTATATTTGTAAACTTGAAATGTCATCATGTGTTCACAAATTCTCTTTAAAGATGGAGGAAAGAGGGGCTGGAGACGGCTCAGTAGTTAAGAGCACTAGCTGCTCTTCTAGAGGACCCAGGTTCAATTCCTAGCACCCCACTGGCAGCTCACAACTGTCTGTAACTCCTGTTTCAGGGAATCCCACATCTTTGTACATAAAATACAAATAAATAAATAATGGGGGGGGAGATGGAAGGGGGAAATGAGGGGCGGAGACTCCAGACCCCATCTAGCTGGCGGGGAATGGAGCCCAGCAGTAGAGTGCTCGTCAGGACGCAGCAGGCTTAGGTATGATGGGGATAATGACTGTATCACAACTGGTCATGAATATAAAAATCATAAGTAAAAAGTGTATTAACCAGTGTGGCTATACACACCTTTAATTCTACAACTCACACTTCTCTGTGCGTTCAAGACCAGCCTGGGATATACAGAGACCCTGTCTCAAAAAACAAAACAAAAACATTTATTGATCACCTTAAAAAATGACTGGGTGTATTAACTTGAAAAGTGGCAAATAAAAGGGTCCCCCCCCCCCCCGTTCTCATATGAACTTACTTCAAGGTAACTTAGGAACTCAAATTTTTTTTTAAATAAAATAATTAGTTATAGATATCAAATAACAAGACAGTGAGAAGTCATCATTTTGTAACTTCAAATAAAATCATGGGGGGCTGGAGAGATGGCTCAGCAATTAAGAGCTACTCTTTCAGAGGACCCAGGTTCAATTCCCAGCACCCACATGGTAGCTTTTAACTGTCTGTAACTCCAGTTCCAGGGAGTCTGACACCTTTATACCAATACACATAAAATAATTACTAAAAAAACAAAAACAAAATAAAATCATGGACTTAGGCAATATCATCCACAGCAGCTGTTAAAACCTTTAAATGAAAACGCCAGACAAGGCTTTACATTACATGGGTCAACCTTTCAACATCTGAACTTGTCAATTAATTTTAGTATGTTTGAGGAAATCCATGTTGTTTGCTGAAATGATCAATAGAAAGGGCACAATATATTCATGAAACATTCTTGTCAAAGAAACTGAATCCAAATTCCGACCAACCCCTTAGGTCTATGCTGTCCAATACAGTCGTCACCAGCTACATACTTGTGCTTAAAGATATAGTAGCCTCTGCTCAACTATAATATTTAAAAAGACTAACCACCATTTCTATTTTGACTAAAAAAAAAGAAAGAAAGATAAAAAGGTCTACTACACTGTCACACACAGGTTTGGTCCCCAGTACACCAGATTATATAGAATACCGAGAAACAAATGAAACATTTGAAACAACCTACCTACTCTCCAGAATGTAGGAAATACTGTCATGATCAATTATGGAGGGAGGAGAAAATAGCTGTGGTAGAAACTAGTATAGCCTTACTGTTCCGATCCCAACTTAACTACCCAGTAAACCACTTCTGGTCAAGAATGGTGGGTGGTACCCTCCTGTGCCTAGACCTGGGGGGGGGGGGACAGGCAGGAGGGCCAGGGGTACACTGGGCCCTGCCTCTCCACTGTAACCCAACAAAAGGAAGGGGGCAGGGCATGGTGGTGCACACCTGCTCTTGCAGAAAGCTTTACAAGTTCCAGGCCAGCCAGGGCTATCTAGTCAAATACTGTCTCAAAAACCCACAGAAACAAAGCAGACAGAACATGGAAACGATAGACGGATAATAAAGTAACACACTGTCTAGTTGAAGAAAGAACCTTGTGTAGATCAGACGGTGGTAGCACACGCTTTAATCCCAGCACTCGGGAGGCAGAGGCAGGAAGATCTCTGTGAGTTCCAGGCCAGCCTGGTCTACAAGAGCTAGTTCCAGTACAGGCTCCAAAGCTACTCAGAGAAACCGTCTTAAAAAACTAAAACAAACCTTGGGTGACAAGCCTAAATTAGAGCCAGTAATGTTCCTCTGTAAAGCAATATAATATCTTATACTTGCTTTATCCCCAATTTCCTGTAATTTTCCTTTCGGAAACTCTTATCTTGTTCTTCCCATGGCCCAAAACATTGTAAATCTTTTATCTTAAATAATGTGGTTTTAGAAACATACTAGTTTCAAAGTGTAGGAAAAAGCTACAAATAATGAAACAAACTAAATTCAAATTCAGACTAGACAAAAAGACAAATATATAAAACTATTTCCTCCATTTCCAAAGAAGTTATATCAAGAGTGCATTTCTAGCTTCTGAAACAATTCTTTTAAAAGGAAGTATGATGAGCTGGGCGTTGGAGGTGCATGCCTCTAATCCAAGCACTGGGGAGGCAGAGGCAGGCAGATCTCTGGTCAGGCCAGCCTGGTCTACAGAGCGAGTTCCAGGACAGGCTCCAAAGGAAGAATGATGGTACAGCACTGGCCTAGCACACCTGAGACCCCAGGTTCAAATCCGTTGCACCAAAATGAAAAAAAAAAAAAAAAAAAAAAAAAGGGCAGTATGACCAATACCAGATTGCTCAGTGCAAGATAAACAGGCTATACAACTGAAAAATCCCTCCAAGCATCTATTTTCCATGCTATTAACAATGAGACAAGGTGGAGTGCATGCAACTATTCATCAAAGGTCAAGACACAAGACAGATGAGTGTTGGTCACGTGACTTATACCTGCACAGGGTGATCATAAAACTAAAGATACCTGGTTGTGCTCAACTCTTCTTTGCTTGAGTGTTACTGGAGTCTTTGCTCTGCCCTTTAGTGGCTCTCTCTTCTCAAGCTTGAGCTCTATTTTAGAGTCTGGAAATAACATTGGAGAGATCGTTATTTGCTGAAACACTTTGGATGTTTTACTAATATCACTTTGGAACCCTGACTTTAGGCACCTTAGTGCACATGACAATCTGTTTATTGTAATACCTCAGTGGAGTAAAATGCCTAGTAATATTCATCAAACAAACCTTTCAATAACAGCCCAAATCTCTTTTATAATCCTAGTCCATTTGTAACCCTCCCCAATGTTTATTCTGATTACTCCTTCCTAATTACTCTCTTCCATTTTCTCCCAACCCTAGAATAACCTTAAACATAGGAGAATTCAAACTGCTCCTGTGGAGGCTTGTCATGCTCTCTCTCTCTCTCTCTCTCTCTCTCTCTCTCACACACACACCAATGCAAAGGTGGAAGTATTGTTTTGTCCATGCACTACATTACTGCTACACAGCAAAAATTAAACTAAAATTTCATGCGATTGTGTGGCTCTAATCATTTGACAGTAAATGGTAACTGCCAAAGAGAGCCTTAATTAGGTGGTGCAGATGGATAATAGACTACATGAGAGATGCTAGGTTCAATCTTTAGTGTTTAACTTCCCAGCAGCCACGGTGGTGCAAATCTGTAATTCTTGCACCAGAGGATGAAGAGACAGGAGGATCTAGAGTTCAAGACTGGCCTGTGCAACAGCAAGACTACCATAAACAAAGCAAAAACTTGGTAAAGAAAGTAAATTATTGCTAAAATTCTTATTCCAAAAATTTGCTTTCTTAGCAAAAAAAAAAAAAAAAAAAAAAAAAAAAAAAATCAGTCCTTAAACCTTAATTTTATATAAGCTCAATGTGGACACACTTCAGAGTAATCAGGATAGGTTGGTGCTTTGCTGGCCTTCTGGTCTAATAATAAATTATTTATTATTGAGTTCCCCCAAGATAGCGACTGTTAGCGAAAATAGTCCCAATAGGTCAATTAAGACCAAGTAACCAAGTCTATGCCCAACACTGTCACTAGATCTACAAGCATATCTATATTTGGTACACTCCTCAGTATTATAAAATCTACTCTGTTCTTTCTTTGAGATAGCCCAGACCAAAAAAAAAAAAAAAAAAAAAAAAAAAAAAAGCGCCTACTAATGAAACAGAAACTGATTAGACAAATAAGCTATCTGGTTACAAATTTTTTAAAGTCCTTGTTCAAATTTAGATTTTAACAGCCAATTAAATATATGATCCTTAAATAGTGAAAAGGACATATGACAGCTAGAATAGTCCCAATTATACTACTGGAAGGTTTCAATGATGAAATGGAAAATGTATATTCATCCAAATATTTCACTTGTTGAAACTCCAAGAAGAAAACACACATAAAACATGTCTCTGGAGACCACAAAACTTCAAATTTAACAACTTTATTGAATTTGTAGACGCATTCTTCAGGAATACATTGCTTTAAAGAAATCACACAGTACTTAACAGGTACATGTATACATGTACATTTTAGAAGACAAATAACACAGCTGCCAGAGAGTGTAGTCTAAGAACATGGTAGTAGTAGACATGTACACTCAAGGGACTGTATTTGGTTACGCTTAAGACTATTTTCCATGTCTCTTCAATCAGGCTATCTTACCTTACAACCATACAAATGAAAGCAGGATAATACATTGCTTCTTACAGACACAGACATTGGGGAATACTAAAATTTCTTAAGGATTCTAGAAAATAATTCAAATTTGCTTTTAGCATTCGGATCTGAAATTTAACTAACATGGATGTACAGCATCTCTTTAAATACATGTAAGCAAAAAAGCCCTTTCTAATGTCTTACTCATTTAACACGTCATGTTGAGTGAATATCAACTATACCAGAATATCTACTGTAGCTGTGTTCCTCAAAGTGTGGTCACATGCTTTTATGACCCATGAACTGCCTTCTCTATCAGAATGTATAGCTGTACACTGCTTTTTTTAATTAGTTACTAAAAAAATAAGCACCTGTGTGAGTGTGTGTGTTTACACACAGACTCAGGAACGCAATATATCTCTTACTGTTCTCTTGCAGCATGACTAGATTTAAATCCTTTCATTAAACTTTCTGTGGGTGGTGGTAAACTCACTCAGGACCACAGCACCATCAACACATGCTTCTAACCACTATGGTGTAGCCTCTCCTTTCCATTCTCATACAAGGTCTGTAAATCAGCAAGCTTGTATGCTGGCACTTAAAGAGCTAGAATTAGTAAGAAGTTTGTTGTAGACAGAAGCATGAACAAGAATGATGACAAATTTTAGAATGTGTAGATACTTCAAGCCAAGAGCGATGAAAAGAATTAAACTTCCTAGCAAGAGATTTGTATCATGAAAATAAGCAGCAGAAAGCAGAGCTGACTTTGAAATCCCAGGGCGGTGTGCCTATTTCACTGCTGAAACCAGGCATTCCTGCACACTAGACTCTTCAAAACAAATTCCTCTGACAAGGGGGGGAAAAAGAATCAATGTTTCAAGTGATTAACAGCGTTTAATTCCGATCCAGGCATAGATAAGCGTGTGATTGTCATTGCTTAAAAAAAAAAAAAAAAAAGGAAAAAAAAAGTGAGGCCACTGGGCAGTGGTGGCACACATCTTTAATCCCAGCACTCATGGCACAGACACATCTCTTTGAGTTCTAGGACAGCCTGGGTTAATCAGAGCCTGTCTCGAAAAACAAATGATGATGATAACAACAAAGTGAGGATTCTACTTCACAAAAAAATACAATGAGTCGGGTGTTGGTGGCACTGCTTTTAATCCCAGCACTTGGGAGGCAGAGGCAGGTAGATCTCTGTGAGTTCAAGGCCAGCCTGGTATATATATAGCTAGCTCCAAAACAGGTTCCAAGGCAATACAGAGAAACCCTGTCTCAAAGAACCAGGAAAAAAAAAAAAAAAAAAAAAAAACAATGTAAGACTTATGTAAAAGTGTTATGTAAAACAGGAAGCTGTAAACTTATGTGAGGCAAATATGTGATCTAAACTTAAACTGTACTAGGCTTTTTATATGAGTAACTATACTATAATTTGGTGAGTAGAAGCTTAATACCTTGAAATTAGTTCTATTAGACTTAAAAAGACCTCAAAAGAAAATTCTGGCATAGAAGTTGCTAGAATTCCTAGAAAGATTCATAAATTCTACAAATCAAAGTTAACTGTCTCTGTCCTTGACTTTATTACTGTTTATTTCCACGTCTTTTAATAACTTTGTGTATGTCCCCTCCAAATAATGTTCCACCCTTAAAGGGGGCAACAGTCAGTTTATTCTTAGAAGCTGGGTTAATCTTACAGTCCTTCAACCACAGATAACGTCGTCCCACAGTAGAAGACCCCATGGCATAGGCAGACACCCTTACTTCATCAAATGCAGCATCACAGAGATATGAAGCTGCATCATAGGTTCTGCTCAGAATCTCCAGTGCTTGGGGTGCATGGCTAGGATCTGAACTAATAATCTGTGCAGCCTGGCTTATGTTGGCTTGCAGAGACTTAGCTACAAAAGCAGTGTGGGTTGCAATCTGTAGTGCTGATGCTGCAGCCTCATAAGATCTACAGAGAGCTAAGTCCACATGTTTATCACAAGACTCAGTGGAGGATGCCTGAATCGCAGCTCGTGGGGTGGTTTCAGAAACAAGCCCCAAGATTTCATCATCTACTGTTGGAACCGATAATATCCGTGTTGCCTCGGTGGAAGAAACTGGATATTTGCATGCCAGCGAAGGCAGCTGCCTATCAATTTCCTGCCACTCCTCTTCAATTACTTTTAAAATAGAATCATGTAGAGGAAAAGATGGTTCTGAGACATCTATTTCATCATGCTGTGGTTGCTCAGACACTTCTATCCCTAAGGTAGTAAGGGAACGAGAGATGACACTTTTAGCAAAAGAAGACATATGTTCAGATTCAGGTATACTCCGAAATGCCACAAGTGACCCTGAACCCCCTTCCTTTGGGGACCTCTCACTGAGCCTAGGGACTGTGCGGGGAGGAGACAGGGATTCAAACTCTTCACGGTTAGACCGGACAAGTCTCTTACATATGTTTTCTACATCCAGTGTGGGTACAGAATTAGAAATCCCAGGCAAACTGCCGACCCCACCCTGGACTAACAGAGAATTGACATAATCTCTGATTGCACGAGCAAGTGGTGGAGAAATGACTTGTGAGCTCTCTGACTCTTGGAGAACTTCTGTTTCACTACAGAGAACTGACTGATCTGAAACATCAAACCCCTCAGCACACGATGGCCGAGTTCTACTTTTCCCTCCACGGTAAATATTTTCTACTGTGTCTTTACAGTAAGTAGTAGTGGTTTCTCTTATCCGTGAAGGAGAAGCTGCAGCAGAGGCCAACCTGGCAGCGAGTTCATGCTGAGAAGATGACGAAGAAGAACTTTTTTCTACGTATCTATCATAGCTAGACTCGGAAGGAATAAATACATTCCGTCCAGGGGCTACCTTCTGTACCTGCCCCCTCCCAGGCAAGGCTGTGTCAGTAAGAGGCCCTCTAGGTGGGTCTCCCTTAGAAGTATGTACTTTCTTAGCTGCCTGCAGTTCAGTCCTGCCCAAAGGAGGACGGGTGGAGATTTCAGGAAAAGAAATACCCTGAAAAAATCCACCAGAGGGAGCAGATGCAAGTTCAGAAAAAGGAACAGAACCCCTAGTGGACTTCGCTTTCGTGTGTCCTTTCTTCTTCCCTGTAGAGGCAAAAGAGCAGGAAGTTTAAGCATGACTGGTTCGGGCTGGTCTTATTCTCTGCCTCCTTGCTAAGACAGTGCTGTTGAAGAAAGGGACCCTATACTCCACACTCCCAGCAACCAATCTGATACCAGTGCCTTGGAAAGCATGGTCAAGTTAATATTCACAAAATTAGCAAATTATGAGTTAAAACTCTGAAGTATCAAACTCTGTATTTATTATAATTTAAAAAGGAATGTACTTGCTGATCTATTCTCAAAAATATTTAAAATCCTGGACAAAATTGCCACAAAAATCAATGTGTGTAAGCAAAATCTTCTAAAATAACTTGTATGCCTATCACTAGAGAAGAAAATGTCATATTTAAATGTTAACACTATAAATTAATTATAATAAACACATAAACATGCAACATGGTCCAAAAATATAACATGAAACAAAATTGCACATAAAAGACTCAGCATATCATTTACATATAATTTATAAAAAAAACAAAGCAGCATTCATCAAATGGATCATTAAATATAAACTTGGAAAGATAAATATCAAATTAATGATTTCTTCTGGAGATGTAATAATGGAGAAAGAAAACTTTGCCTTTACAAAAATTCAATTTGAAACAAAAGTTGAATGGCTATTTAGACAAAAAATATGTATCTTTGTCAATACTGTTTTAAATTTTACCTTGTTCAAGGGTAACACTGAGTCAGAAAGAAAACTCACATGTCTGACTAACAGCATTTACAATTTTACCTTCGTCATTGTCGCTGTATCTGTCGGAGTCATTACTGCCATTCTGCCTCGCATTTTCTGAAGAAGAGACTGTTGGCAGAGGAGTAGAAGATCGAGACTCTGGCCCCTGTTCCCTCAGTTTCAACAGCTTCTTCTCGTACAGTTTCCTGGTTGTCCCTGTGTTAAGACAAAAGCTTCATTAGTACTGGCATGAAACTGTCTTTACAAAATTAAAGTCAAACAAGCATAAAAACCAAAACAAAACAAAAAAAGCATGTCTATTAGTGCAGATGCCTAGAGACCAGAGCAGCCAGATCGCCCTGGAACTGGAGTTACAGGCCATTGTGAGCCACCTAACATGGATTCTGAGCAAGACTAAGGTCCTGGCAAGAGCAGCACAGACTCTTCAAACTGGGATCATCTTTGCGGCCCATACAGGAAACAAGTTTTTAAGCAAAGTGCTTTCTGTTTCTAAAGTAAATGATTAAAAAGAATACATAAAGTACTCTTCCAAAACAGCTGTTTCTCTGTGTGGCCCTGGCTGTCCCCAGACTCAGAGATCCACCTGCCTCTGCGTCCCAAGCACTGGGAATAAAGGTATGCACCACCACTGTCTGCACAGAATCACAATCTTACTTCTTATGTGAGTGGGTGTCTACCTGTGCATCATGTCCCTGTGCCCGTGCAGGCCAGATGAGGGTGTTGTATAGCATTACAGATAGTTGTTAACCACCCAGGGGCTGGGAAAAAATAGATCTGCTCTAAGAGCAGCTAGTGTTCTTATATGCTGACCGTCTCTGTAGCTCTCCAAAGCGCTTTCTTATACACAGCTGGAACCCTGAACAAAAAATGATTATACTGCACTAAGATCAATATGCCTATAAAGAGAGAACCATGGTCAAATCTTATAAATAATTTGATCATCTTTAATTAGGTATGTATCTTTCCTCAGTTTATGGAAGATGATGACAGCGGGCGTACTGATCATAAATAACTAGTACATTAACATGTAATCTAGCATACTTCATATAACATACATTTCAGTGTCTCAGAATTTTACAAAAGATATCACATGTCATTATAGCCACAGGCTTGTCTGAGAGTGGCCTATGAATGGCACACTTCTAAACCCAGCACATGGGTAGCAAAGCAAATAAAACCAAACCAAATCATTTTCAACTATAGCACCTAACCTCCACCAGTGTTCAAATCCTTACACAACCCTGACGTGTGTTAATTTGTCTCGTCTTGAGGTCATTGACTAAATCCTGTAAGAAAATCATAATTAACCCGGCAAAAATGCTGCTGTCTAGAAAAGCAAATGACAAATCTCCAGTATTTAGTTCTGCAAGCCTTCTGTTTCCTTTGTCCTTTAGGGTTATCAAGATAAACTTAAATTTCACTTTTATTAGGAAATGAAACTCGTTAGGAACTAAACAATAATTAATAACTGCTCATTACTCTATGTCTTAACTCAGTGACTGAGATGATCTGGCCCATAAGATCCAAGTCTCACAGAGTAGCCAAAGTGACAACATCAACAATGGGTAATCTTACACATTATCTATTTAGAGTCAAGGAAACTGAACTTGTTGATTGGTTATATAAATAATGACAACAGCCCCCAAAGACCCAAGAGTAAAACATGAGCTGGGCTCTTGCTTTTTGGACAAGCAGTTGAGACTTGGTCCACTTACCCACGATGGGACCGGGGTTCACCCCGAATCTCACGAGCTGATCCAGAAGGTCTTCATTCGAGAGCTCTGTCACGTCCAGGTCATCTTTATCCTCCAGTCTGGGCTTGTCAGTTTTCTTTGTGGCTTTCTGTAAAGAAAGTACAATTACCTTCTCTACATGAAAACTTCATCTACATCTCTATGCAGTCAACAAGGTGACTTATTTTTACATTAGCCACAGCAATTTAGTTAAACTAAAAACCTTTACTTGCAGGCTTTTCTAAGTCTAACTGTAGTTAGACTGTACATGCCTGATAACAAGTAACTTAAAACATTGCTGTTGGGGGTCAGGGTATGGCTCAGTGGCAAGGCCCTGCCTACCTGAAGAGACAGTAATAGCATCAAGTGTCCAAAAGGAAATATGAATCTTACATATTCTTGGGAGCCTTGGAAGTACAGCCACGCTACCATGACTGGCCCAATCTGATTCTTCAAATTGGGGTAGCATTTTTTAATGTGAAGTTTGAGTAATCTGAATACAGTAAGAGAACATGAGAAGGGAGGCAAGAATAGCATCACATTTTTTATCCCAAGCATCAAATGTGAGACTAAGGGGGCCAGAGAATTAGCAGCAGTTAAGAGAGAACTGGCTGCTCTTCAATTCCCAGCATCCAATTGGTAGTTCACAAGTTTCTAACTCTAGCATCAGGGGATCTGAATGGCAAACAGATATACATACAGGTATAACACCATACACACAAATAAAGTAAAAGACTAAAACAAAGAAAGAACAAACAGCCTAGTCCATAAATCAAATAATTCAAAATACAATTTGGTGAGGAAAAAATTAAGTCATTAAAAAAATCTATTTCTTATGTTTTTGGTTATAAGCCTGGCCTTTAATGGCCAAGCCACCTCTTCAGTCATAGCTCTACAGTGGAATATTTGCCTAGTATACCTGGGTTCCAGTCTGCCCTAAAAAAGAAAAGACTAACAGAAATAACTAACAAGGCTTTTAGAAGCAGAAAACCAATTCACACTTCCATAATGAAAAACTTCAACTGAACAAAGAAAAATTTTGAGTGGGGGATAGGTTCTCATAAAGTGAACCAGAAAGTAGGGGGTCCATCAACAAATATCACACATTTAATAAGAAGAAAATTAACTGGGCATTGGTGGCACACACCTTTAATCCCAGCACTTGGGAGGCAGAGACAGGTGAATTTCTGTGAGTTCGAGGGCCAGCCTTGTCTACAGAGCCAGTTGCAGGACAGGACCCAAAGCAATACAGAGAAACCCTGTCTCCAAAAACAAAACAAAAAGTGGGAGGTGTGTTACTTGGTATAAATAATTAACAAAGGAGCAGTTTCAATCAAGGAAGTATGCACTGTGTTAAATTCTCCCTTTGGTAGCTTTGTTTAAGTATATAAACTGATATTGCCAGCATGTACTGTGCATAACACACACATGCAGTTCCTGTGGAGGCCACAAGAGGGTATCAGAGCCCCAGAATAAGGAATTACAGATTTGAGCAACCATGTCTGTGATAAGAGGCAAACTGGGTTCCTGGAAGGAGAGCCAGTGCTCTCAAGTGCTATAACCCAGGGTGACCCTGAACTCCCAGCAATCCTCCTGCCTTCACCTCCTGAGTGCTACGATAAGAGGCATGAACCACCATATCAGTTCCATTTTAAGTGCATATTTGCACTAACTTAAAGAACTCTGTAAATTAAGCCAGTAGAGGCAGGTGGACCTTTTTTGTCCAGTTGGTTTTATCGAGGCAGGATTTCTGTGTAGCCCTCCCTGGCTATAGCGGAACTAACCGTAGACCAGGTTGGCCTGGAACTCAGGAGAGTCCAATGCCTCTGGGGGGATTAAAGGTGGCGGTAGCGGTAACACCATCTGGACGCAGGCAGATAGGTGAGGTGGAGGCCAGTCTGGTCTACACAGAGTTCCAGGGCAGCCAGGGATACATCTACAAACTTGCCTCAAAACAACCCCAAACCAAAACAGGAAAAAACAAACAAAAACAAACCCAACAGGTTTCATCATTAGCCAGCCAGGCTGGTGGGGTCATATCTGAACTAGCACAGGGAGTCTGAGAATAGGACCATATTTGACGGCAGCCTGGCTTATATAACAAGTAAATAAATTCAATAAATAAGAAGCACTCATGAAGTTCCAAAGTCCACTGACAGCTCAAAACGATCTCCCCTGATGGGTTCACTCAAGAATGGCACTATGCCCCACTGGCTCCCTAACTACTCGACCTGCACGCTCTGCACACAAACAAAAAGGCAGATTGCCAGCTCCATAAATGCTTACTCCTGTGCCCACTATCTAGATCATTCTAACACCTCAAAATACTGATAAAGACACAATTAGAAGCCTAAAAATAAGAAACCAAAACACGCCAGTCTGGTCTATAGCCTGGTCTAGGACAAGCTCCAAAAGCTACAGAGAAGCCCAGTCTCAAAAACCAAACAAACCAATTAAGGTGGGGAAAACAAAACACACACACCACTATATGCACCCAAGGAAAATACTAGGATGCTGATATGAAGCAATGTACCCCTTAATTGGAAGTATTTACGAAGGCTGGGCATGATAGCAGGAGCCTGCAATATAACACTTCGGTGATCAAGACAGGAAAAGCAGGAGAATAACTTTATACAAGGGATCATAAATGTTCTACGACTTAAAAGTGATAATTTATCTCTGAAATCAAAACTCTCTTTATTCATGTAGTTTAAAACAATACAATACCAACTGATTGCCAATATTAATTTAACAGTTGATATCAGAGTCCAATCAAGGCTAACATTTTTAAAAATTTAAATATTGCAAACCTGTCATTATGAGACTCAGAAAGAACCCCTGCCATAGCGCATGTTTGGAGCTCCACCGGACTTAGGAAGTACTTGCCCGCCCACCCCTGGCCTCCAAGTGATGAGGGATCAACACAGCATTTCAAACTGTCCCTGTTCTTGAGGTACAGCTCAACCCTACAGTAGGTGCTCAAAGGGGCGGGGGCTAGGATCTCTCATGCAAGGAGTTGAGCTGGGATGAGCAAATAGCACAATTTTTAAAAATAACAATAAAAAAAGATGATGACAGACTGGCGGTACATACTTATCACCTGGGCACTCAGGAAGCTAAGCCAGGACTCAATGTCAAAAACGCTACTTTGAAACAAAGTCTTATGTACATAACCACGAAAGCTTCCAACCCCTATGTAGATGACTGCCTCCAAAAGATGAACTGGGACTTAATTTTTACACACATCCAAAAGATCTATGGGTTAAAATACTTGGATGATTTGATAGAAGACCGTCCCTACCACGTGTCACTTAAAATGGAAAACATCTTTTTGTGTTTTGCTTACTAAATAAGTACCAAGACAGTTCAAATGTCGTCGTCGTGTGCCCCCCGCCCCCTTTTTTGGTTGAGACAGGGTTTCTGTGTAGCACTGACTGGCAGGCCTGGAACTCAGAGATTACCTGCTGCTCCCTCCCCCAAGTTCATGCTGGGATAAAAGTGTTCCTTCAATGTCCCCCCTGGGGGGGGGTGTTCATGCTACCTTTTTAAAGAGCTGGTGGATGGGGCTGGAGATGGCTCACTGATTAGGAGAGGACACAGGTTTGATTCCCAGCACCCAGAGAGACTCACAACCACCTCTAACTCCAGCACCTGAGGGTGCTATGCCCTCCAATGGCCCCCTTGGGGAGTTAGCATACACAAGATACAGCATGCAGGTAAAACATACACACACACACACACCATTAAAAGGAGTTGGAAAAAAAAAAAAAAAAAAAAACAGGTGAAGGGGTGCTCCTTAGCTGGGTGTGGGGCACAGGCAGCTGTATGCTGACCTCTGAGACTTCAAGACCAGTCTGTCTACAAAATATGTTCTGGGATAGCCAGGACAGTTAGAGAGAAACCCTGTATCAAATAACTTTTCAAAAGAGGAAAAGAACAAAATGAATTCTCTTGTTTAGAGATAAACTCTCACCGAGGCAGCCCGTGCCTCAGCATCCTGAATGCTGGGATTTCAGATCTGAGCCACTACTCTCTGCTAGCAAATCCTACTTAAAGCGTACTTAAAAATGTCCGGGCATGTGTCTTTTTAAAGACACATGCCACTGCTGCACTCAAGCTTTTTATGTGGGTGTTGGAGGTCTTTCTGTTTAAAGTCACTTTAGCCTTTAAACCCACAAAAAACTTGGAATCACTGAACCTGCATGCATGCGCACGCGCGCACGCACACACATGTACACACACACCGCACACTGAGTTTGTCTACAAAGAACAAAATTATAAGTAGAATGGATGAAACTGGGGATTATGTTAAGTGAAACCAGACACTCAAGAGCCTGGTATATCAGTGTACACCCATAACCCAGTACCTGGGAGTCAGAGGCAAGGTCATCCTGACTACAGTGAATTCAAGACCAGCCACATCAGACCCTATCTCAACTTGGTGCACAACTAAGTAAAACTTTCGAATGAAATCCATTATTTTGTTTGACTTTTAAAAAATGCAATAAAATGGATGTTTGCCCCCCCACCCATAAATAGGGAGACACTAATGACAATAATAGGTGTGGCTCGCCAAAATTTACTAATTTATTGGTTTTAAACAAGAGCTCAAGGAGCTGAGGGTCGCTGCCACTTCTCCTGAACCAGGGGTGGGAATACAGGCACCCAGCCCTTGTATTTATCGGGTTAGTGCATACTAGACACCGGTAGGTGCGAGACTTAAGACGTGGGCGAAGTGACGCTCAGTAAAGTTTTCTCTTCTAAACCCACACGTGCCTATGACGTTTTTCATTTAGGCAATCAGCAGAAACAAAAACCATGTCCCGTTAAACAAAGCACTGTAAAACTTTCAAAGAAGCAATTAGCACCTTCAGGTGTAGTTCCGCGCCAGTACAGGCTAAGCAAAAGAGCTGTGGGTTCAATTCCCAGCACCCGAGAAGCAAGCCGCAATCCATTCGGTTATACCAGTAAACAGCAGCAACTGCCTCTGACCAAACCCGTGCGTTGGGCCTGTCGAAGATTTTAAGCTACACCAGGCAAAGAGTCTTTACTACTTTTCATGGCTTGAATTCTGGTAACTAAACATAAAGCAACAAGATGCTACTTAAAAAAAACAAAAAAGTGCCCAAAGGGGAAAAAAAGCAACGTGGTACACATTAGAGGGAATCCATCTTAGATCTCATTGGTCCCAGGCTCCAAATTGTGATGCCGACAAATTAGTTTGCCATCAACTTTTTTTTTTTTTGCGCGCTTCCCGATCTTTACTTCCTCGAGCAAAATCGTCAAAACGGCAAACAACTCGAAACTCGTGCAAGACGTGTACGGGAACGACTTTTCCAAGGGGCGGCGTTCATTTTACAGTAAAGCCAACCTACTAAAAGCGGGGGGGGGGGGGGCCCGGGGATTGCAAAGGAGTGGCACACACGCCCGAGGGAACAAACGGCCCCAGAGAACCTCCTCCGCAGGAGGGGAAAAAAAAAAAAAAAGGCGGGAATGTCTGAATTTCGAAAAAAAACTGCCCAGAAATGGCTGCGTCGCAAACCGCCCTGCAGGGGGCGCTGCGAGGCTCCGCTGCGCGTCGCTTGGGCACGAAAGCGGGAAAACGCTCCAACTTGTGCTCGCGTGCTGGGGCCGAGCCCGCGGGCTCACGCCCGCCGCCATCCCCGTCCCCGATCCCGTCCCCCCGGGCCCGGCGGCGGCGGCCCCGAGCGCGCCAGCCCGAGCCTCGGCCTTACCCTGCCGACGGCGCCGCGGCCGCGGCCCGCGGAGGCCCCGGAGCCCGGCACCGGCGTGGGCTCGCGCTCCTCGTCGCTGGAGAAGTCGGGGGGCCCCTTGCTGTTGGCGCCCGCGGCGAGCGCCGGCCGGTTGCGCGCCGTGAGGTGCTGCAGGTAGAGCTGCACGTACACGTCCTTGCGCTGCTCGCCGGCCGGGAGCGCCACGTTGTTGGCCACCAACTCGCTCTTCAACTTGTCTTTGGTCAGGACCGACGGGTCCTCCAGGAACTCGGGCATCGTGGGCTCCCGCCGCTCGCGCCCCTCCCTCCCCGGCCGCTCACGGTCGCCGCTCGCTCGCAGGGGCTCGGGGCTGCGCCGCCCGCCGCCGCCTCCGCCTCCGCCGCCGCCGATCCCCTGGGGTCCCCTGGGCCGGCCGGGAGCAGCGCCGCCGGCCAGCGCACGGGTCGGGACACAAAGCCCCGGGCGCACGACTGGCGAGCGAGTGCGGCCAAGCCGGGAGCCCGCGGCGAGCCTAGCACGCACGCCAGCTCCGCGGGGACAGCGGCCGGCCGCGCGCGCGCCCCAAGAACGCGCGCCGCCATTGGCGGGCGGCGGCAGGAAGCGCGCCGCTGATTGGCTGCGGCGGCGCGCGCGGGGTCCCAGCCGCCGCGGCGCAGGCCGAGAGGCGCAGGAACGCAGTTTCAAAGGCGCTCGGGCGGGAGCTCGGGCCCCGGGCCCGCGCTCGCCTCGCTCCTCCACCCTTCCCCGCCGACGCCGAGGACGGACGCGCGGCGCTGCTGCCCGGGCGCACCGTGTCCTCCCCTCCCTCCCTCCCCCAGCCCGGGCTCCCGAGCAGCCTGGCCCCGGGCTCCCGCCGCCTTCGGACCGGCCCGCCCGAGCTGGGCACCGGCTGGGAAGGAAGGACGGAAGGACGGACGGACCCTTGGCCGGGCCTGGCTCCCTCCCGGGACGCCGCGTCCCCCAGGAGGGCCACAGCCTGGCGCCCCTCGGGTGCTGGCCCTGCGGGGCCCGCAGAGAAGCCAGGCAGGCGGTGGGAGCTCGCGCTCCGGGCTGGGATTGCCCGGGCGCAGTGAGTGCAGCGCACAAAGTCACAGCCCCTCGGTTGGCAGACGCTTCTTTTGTTCTGCAGTCTGGGGAAAGGCAGAGTTTGCTGCTTGAGTTTGTTACAAAATTGCGTTTTTAAATCTCCCCGTTCGCTTCTTACCCTGTTCCCAAAGGCTTTGGTTTCCATGCTTAACTACTTGGGGCTTCAAACAAATCTCTGCTTTTGTTTTCCTTGAGCCGCCTAGGTAAGACACCCTAACCCACCCCACACCAAGGAGCTCAGCGTAACTTCATCCTGCCTTTAGTAATGGAACAAGACGAGGCGCAATGTTTAGAAACTCCTTAACATAGTAGTAAACTTCGTATGCGTGTAGTGGTGCATTTTGGGTTTTGGAGCAAGCCAGGGGCCCCTAAAAAACTCGTGCTATTGAGTCGAGGTAGCGCTTGGAGTCTCAGATGTGCTACAGTTATAATGCCTTCTAGAACACTATTGACGACAAATGTTTCTCACTAACACAGTACATCTATAGGGGCCAACGTGAACAGCGTTTATTAAATATGTAAAAAGTCGCAGTAAAACTCATAGTAAATGCTAATAAGAACGTGTATAATGCTTCAATGTATATGGGAAATGTTTTGGGGAACTTCGCAGGAGAGGAAGGAGCTGACCTCAGATTCAGAGTGCTTTAATCATTTCCTCAGTGTCTAAGCTCTAGATTTATGTGCTATAAAAAGTTTTAATATTTAAGCATGAATAAAATTAAAAATATGAACCGAAAATGTCTTTTAAATGTTTGCCTATTTCCACATGGTGAAACTGGGGGGGGGGATTGAGAAGCAAAGCAAGCCCTCATTAAAAATGAACCTATAAATTTGAAAACAGGATTTTGGTTTTTTGAGTCAGGGTTTCTTTTCTCTGTGTACCTCTTGCTGTCCTGGAACTGTAGACCAGGCTGGTCTCAAACCTGGAGATCTGGCCGCCTCTGCCTCCTAGTGCTGGGATCAAAGGTGTGTGTCACCCCTTCCTTGCAGAACATTGCTTTAATACTAGATTGCTATCCTAGAGGCAATTTTATTGTATTAGTTCCTCTTTAAAAAACAAAGCATAACAAAAACTCAGCGTGGCAGGTCATTGGCCACATGGGCATGCCTTTGAGCCCAGCATCTGGTAGGCAGAAGCAAGTAGATCTCTAAGTTCAAGGCCAGCCCCAGCTACATGGTCAACTCTAGGACAGCTAGGACTACATAGAGAGAGACCCTGTCTCAAAAGAAAAAGAAACAAACTAACAGAAAACCCTCAGTATGCATGTGTGCTTAAGTGGCTGGGCAGTAATAGCTAGTGCCAGCAGTCCCAGCGCTTCAGAGGCAGGTGGATCTGAGTTTGAGGCCAGCCTGGTCTACATAAGTCCCAGGTATCCAGGGCAATGTAGAGAAACCCTGTTTTGAGAAAACTAACACAAGCGTTTAAGCAACAGTATGAAGCTCAGTAACGAAAACTAAAAACAGTGTTTTAACACGTTGTCTAATGGGTTTTTATACTTTCTGAAAGTTACCTTTCCCCCCCATAACTTCCCTGGGTACATAGAGAAGTATATTATTTTTCTATAGAAACGAACTGATCATCAAAAGCCTGATGTTACAGATGGGAGACCCCCAGCAAATCCATATGCAGGCATCCCAATGTGCAATGTATCTTAGTTATTTTTTCCAATAGAGTTGAAAATTATAACTAAAGAAATGGCATCCAGAACTTTCTTCTCTCCTCCAGACCACAGAATCAATGGGTTTATTTCATGGTTCTCCAGTTAGCAAATTATCCTGTTGTCTTTGTAATTGGAGAATTTGACTGTGGTCTGCTTGTACTTTGGGAAATAAACACTGCTGTTCTGTCTGAAATGGTTCAGTTACCAGGCTAGATTTGACCAAAGATGGAGTGCATGCTAGGGTCCAGCCTAACTCCACTGGGTGAGATTACTGGCTTAGCCAGGTCGATGAAGCGGAGGAGGTACCAGTGATGTTTGAGAATAATGTTTTAGGTTTGATTTGGGAAAATACAACACTGGTGCCTCAGAGCCCTGCCTGAAGACAATGCTTTAGAACTCTGATTTTGTTTTGTTTGTTCCCCTTTTAGGCTTTTGTAACAGAACATTTCCAGGGAGTTTAATCCTCAGAGATAATAACACATTGTCTTCCCCACGAGCAAACAATGAAAAACTTTTTAATCCATCTTTTGAGTGTTTAAGAATATACAGAGTGGCTAGGTGGTGCTGGCACTTGGGAGGCAGAGGCAGGCAGATCTCTGTGAGTCTGCATAGTGAGTTCCAGCACAGGCTCCAAAGTAGAGTGTATCTAGCATGTTTGAGGCCCTGACCCGGGGCCTCTACCTCTTGGGTGCTGGAATTAAAGGGTACAGTACCACATCCTCCTTACTATTATTCGTTTTCTTTAGGCAGGGTTTCTCTGTATCACAGCTGTTCTGGAACTCACTTTGTAGACTAGACCAGGTTGGCCTTGAACTCACAGAGATCCACCTGCTTCCTGAATTTTTTTTTTTAAAAATCTTTTCCTAATAGTGTGTTTTCTTGTCATGCGTGGGCATGTGCAGGTTCCTCGGGAAGACAGAGGTGTTAGCATCTCCTGAAACTGGAGTTACAGGCAATTGAGAACCACCTTGTGTGGGTACTGGGAACTGAATTTAGGAAGGAAAAGCCAGCCAGTGCTCCAGCCCCTGAGGTTGTTTTAATCACAGTACCATGCCCAACACTCAATCTGTGACCCACAAAGAGCCCGACTGTAGATGCCTGATGTGCCCTAAGCAAAAATATCACTTCCAGTCTGTTGTCTCCCACCTTTTAAAATCCCTGGACACGTGGCTAAAGAGATGGTTCAGTGGTTAAGAGCACTGAACCGCTCTTCCAGAGGTCCCAATTTCAATTCCCAGCACCCACACAGCAGCTCACAACTGTCTAACTCCAGTTCCAAAGGATCTGGCACCCTCTTATAGACATACATGCAGGCAAAACATCAATACGCATAAGCTAAGTAAATAAATTAGTAAAAAATAAAATCCCTAGACACTATCTATGGTGGTTAAAATGCAGTGTTAGATTACTTCTAAATTATACTAAGCCGACTAATTAATCATTCTAAGAAACTTCACAGATCCAACTTAGGTAGGACCTACTACGAGATGGAAGTTTTATAAGGAAAACAGTAATCGGTCAGGTGGTGTGTGTGGTGCACACCTTAGTCCTGGGATTCAGGAGGCAGGGACAGGCAGATCGAGTTTACAGCCAGCCTGGTCTACGTGGTGAGTTCCAGGACAGCCAGAGCTTATAGTGAGATTCGGTGATAGGTACATATATTTGCCCTAGTTAGTTCTGTCAATTTCACAAAGCCTAGAATCAGCTGAGAAGTGTGACCTGCTAGGGAGGGATGCCCAGATTAGATTAGTCTGTGGATTCGGCCAGGCCAGGCCCACCGGGTGGTCCCCTTTGCAGGCGGGTGGTCCTGGGCTGTGGGTTTGAGGGCTCTAGCAAGCAGCATTTCTCTGTGTCTTCCTTCTGGTTCCTCCTTGAGTGCCTGCCTTCATTTTCCTCAATGATGGAGGGAGTGTAACTTGTAAGTTGAAGTGAACCCCTTCCTTCCCCAAATGGCTTTGGTTAGATTGTTTTATTGCTGCAACGCGATAGCAAACAGAACGCTACTGCCTCACAGTTTAGATAGCATTTTGGTATATTTGGACTTGTATGGTAATCAGGACTTAGAGTCTCATCTTCCCATTATCCCCAGGGTGCAGTCCCGAAAAAGTCTAGGCTGTGTTCTGTGATGGTCTGTGTTTTCGGTGATCTTGTCTTTTGTTTAGTTTTTTTTAGAGACAGGGTTTATCTGTGGCTTTGGATCCTGTCACGGAACTCTCTCTGAAGACCTGGCTGGTTTACAGAGATCCGCCTGCCTCAACCTCCCGAGTGCTGGGATTAAAGGCTTGTGCCACCAACGCCCAGGCTCGGTGATCTTGTTAAAGCCATGAATGACCAAGTCATGAATTATTACAACAGCTCTGCATTTCCCGGAGAATAAATTAGGAGGTCTGCCTCTCATTTACCTCTCCAGCCCTGCCGCCTTCTTGTTCTATCGTAACACGAACTTTCTACGAGCACACATCCTTGACGTGTGTCCAAAGCATGCCGCCAGCCCCACTGCATTAGGATCATTTTTCCTTAACCAACGCTTTAAAAGTCTGTCTCCAAACAGCCACATTCC